TACTACGAGAGAGAGAGAGAGAGAGAGAGAGAGAGCCCTGCAAGGAAACACATTAATCCCTCAATGTCGTAGCCAAGACCCACATTTGTAGAGAGAGACGCTGCCCCCACAAAACCCACCAGCCGCCATGGACAGCATTCCTTCCACACCAGGCAAATTCAAGATGGAGAAATCGCCTTACTCACCATTCAGGCATAGGTTCCACTCCTCAGTAGCCAAGCTCCTCTTCATTTCCCTTCTTTTTCTAGCCGTCTTCCTCCTTTTCCTTATAAAACCACCTCCCTCCCCTTCTCTCTCTAACCCCACCGAGGCTCGCAGAAACCTCCATTCCACCACTTGGGGAGGCCAAGCTTGGGAGAAACGTGTCCGGTCTTCTTCTCGGCCGAAACCCCATCGCTCGAAACCATTGATCGTGCTCGTTACTGGGGCTGCAGGGTTTGTCGGGAGCCATGTCTCTGCTGCCTTAAAACGTAGAGGTGACGGTGTTCTGGGCCTCGATAATTTCAATCACTACTATGATGTTTCGCTCAAGCGAGCACGCCAGTCTCTATTGAATTCACAGGGGGTCTTCATTGTAGAGGGCGACATCAACGACTCCTCGCTTCTTCGGAAGCTGTTCGATGTTGCCGCTTTCACCCATATCCTCCATTTAGCTGCCCAAGCTGGAGTTAGGTATGCCATGGAAAACCCATCTTCTTATATCGATAGCAATGTCGCTGGTTTTGTCAGTTTACTCGAAGTTTGTAAGTCTGCAAATCCTCAGCCTGCCATTGTATGGGCATCAAGCAGTTCAGTTTATGGATTGAACACAGAGGTCCCCTTCTCTGAGAGCGATCGGACTGATCGGCCAGCAAGCTTATATGCAGCGACTAAGAAAGCGGGTGAAGAAATCGCGCACACTTATAACCATATCTATGGCTTATCAATTACTGGTTTGAGGTTTTTCACGGTTTATGGACCTTGGGGTAGGCCCGACATGGCCTATTTCTTCTTTACGAAGGATATTTTGCAAGGAAAGACGATACCTATTTTCGAAGGGCCTAATCATGGAACGGTGGCAAGGGATTTTACGTATATTGATGACATTGTGAAGGGGTGCTTGGGTTCTTTGGACACAGCTGAGAAGAGCACTGGTACTGGGGGGAAGAAGAGGGGGCCTGCTCAATTGAGGATCTTTAATTTGGGGAACACATCACCGGTTCCTGTGAAGGATTTGGTGAGCATATTGGAGAGGTTGTTGAAGGTTAAGGCTAAGAAGACCATAATTAAGATGCCAAGAAATGGTGATGTTCCGTTTACTCATGCAAACATAAGCTTGGCTCAAAGGGAATTAGGGTACAAACCCACCACTGATTTGCAGACCGGGTTGAAGAAGTTCGTGAAATGGTACTTGGGTTATTACAAGGATGTGGAGGGGAAGTTGGCTTTCTGATAACTCCTCGTCGAGGAGAGAGAGATGGAGGAGTTTTGTTGCTGAGGCCCACGGTGATTGATCCCTTGTAGAACAGTTCAATTCATGTGATTTTGATTCTTACCCATCATTTTTTTCTTGATATTTTTTTTCTATTGCTTTATCTACGTATCGAGAAGAAGAAAATTAGGTGCTGCTAATTTGGGATTTGCCAGATCGTTTTGTCATTTTTAGGACATTCATTGATCCGTACTAAGGCTGGAGAAATTCTCTCTGTATATAAGCATAAACCCACGTCTTTCTTTTCCTGCTCTTTTGAACCTGTTTTTCTTACTATTGATTTTCATTTGTACGCCCCGTGAGGCATGAATGCTGATTATGGGTTTACATTTGGTGGAGAATTTGGTTTTGTTATGATCTAAATAAACCACTATTTTTCTTCATTGTTACTATTGTAATGATTACATCTTGGCATTTTTAGAATCATAGAAATATTTTGCTTCTTGCTTGGTGGTGATGCGTGTTTTGTAATGTAACCAGCCCTTTCAATTGTTTTGTATAGTTTTGATTTTCTCTCCCCTAGTATTCTGGTTTACTTAATTTGGCAAGGAACATGATTAGTTGGATGATATAAACACATTAAATTGGTAAGAATTGGAGTGCTGTTTTATATACGTAAAATAGAAATGCTGTGGGTTGTAATTGTGAATGTTGCATTCTTTTGTTCATATGAGCCACATTGCGTGAACTATGTGTTTATCCTATGTTTAGAAAGAACAAGAAAAGTATTTCTATAATTGGATATTATGAAACAAGAAAACACCTGTTGATCAAGTTTTACACCTATATTCGCTTGATTTGGTAACTTTCACTCAATATGAACATTTTTATATGGTATAGACGGTCATACTTACATGGAAATTTCAGACATTCTCAAACACAATGCATGTTGTGGTTCAATGCAACATTGGAACCCATGGTATGGGAATGATATGTTCAACTATTTTTGGCATTTCTGTAAAATCTAACTTCTGGGTTTAATTTCAAGTTTACATTAAATTCCTACTAAGACATGGCATGTCTTTAGTTCATGTCATATGACTATTCATCAATCTATTTTAATCTTGTTATTCGGTTGCTGTTACTCTACTAGGACCTGTTGTTACTTTAAGCTCCTTTTCAGCCAGGATTTGATTGAATTAGCCCTTGATCTAGTTGGTTGGTAGGGGACACATGCTTGTACTATGTTTTTAAAAATCAGATCCCATTTTTTTAAAAAAACCCAACTATTTACCATAAGTTCACATGATTTAATGGGCCACACCAGCATACATTGCATGTACAAGGGGATACAATTCAGGTAATTGGGGGACTTTCTCCTGTCTATGATATTTTGTTGGGTAGACTGGACCCCCTTTCTGGCAAGAGACCTGACGAGATTCCATTGACATAACCGAAATAGATGTTGCCAATAATTGGTATCCTTGGAATGTTCATCCAATTTATTTGCAAACCTACTGTTTTTAATTTGCATTGTCCCATGATATTGTTCCCCTGCTTCTTGCCCATTATTGTTCTTTGATCAGAAACACGCGGATGAAACCCACAATCCAGTTAGAAATACTCTGTATTTCACTTTATTGGAGCCCCGCACATATGCTTTCATTTTCTGACTCCTGCAAAGATAAGTTTTTCAAGTGAGCTCTTCTCAAAATTTAAATTGAGTGTCCCAATTGGTTGGTTGTACTACATAGCTCTTGTTCGGAAGTTATAGGTTATCCCCGACCAGCATTGAGCTTGAGCTTAACAACTTAACATGAAAAATCTCCAAGCTTTCGCATTGTATTATCCTGTCAGCCTTTGGATGTGAGAAGAAAGACATCTTCAGACCTTAATAGGAATATACATGACTTGTAACCTCTTCTTCAAAGTCCTAAGCATAGACCCTAGGCTACTAATTCATTTCCTCACAGCTCCAACAGTCATCATGTGTACTTATTGCAACCATGGTTGCTTTCAATAAACATTTTCAATAGTGCCGCAGGATCTTCCCTGGATCTCCCATGCCACGTCCTTTACCTAACCTGCCCATTTTCTTTTGATAAAACTAACCCTGCCATGTTCACCTCCCAATGTTAAAAATCCACCCTTTATTCTTCTTAACCTTGCAACCTCTTCCCAATCAAATTCATGTCCCTTGCCTCTATCCTTCCATCAAACTTTTGTTGGATTCTTTCCAACTTCTTGGGCAGGTAGAAGGATTTGTATGAGCCTATGGTGGGGCATGAAATATATTCCAATATTAGATATGGCCTTCAGATTGGTGATTCTCCCACTGAAAGAGAACTGTTGATTCTGCCCTTGGAATCAATTTGGAGCCATACTGCCTGATCATCTGATATATTAAGCTTTTCCTCTCGTTTCCAATACGGTTGGCTGCTCGCATAGCTATCCTAGGAGCGATCCCAGTTTGTGTCTCATTCGTCTTTCCATCGAGGCTTTTTTCTTATTTTGAGAATTAAGTTCATTTTGTGGCCTGGTACTCAATTGAGGCTACAATTTCTCGTACTTGTTTCTGTTTATCGATAAAGAGCAATCTCTTGATCAGGATGCTGCAATTATCAATGTCTGCATACACTCTGAAAATCTTGATCTTCGTTGATTTGTATAGATCATTTCTTCTTCTATTTTTGAAGTGTTCTATTATTGACCTGAGTTTTGAATGCCATTGGAGGTGCCCTTTGAATTCCTTGCTTGAAATACCAGCTGATCCTCGGGAAATTAAGTAATTTTTAGGAGGCAAAAGAAAGTTCTCTCTAACTTTGCATAGAAAAACCCTATTAAAAAATTACCTTGGGAAATGTGTTGACCTATCCAAACCGTGGCTGTAAATATCTTCAAGGATCAATATTCTGGTGCCAATTGCATGAGAAGAAGAATTGATTTGGAGTTAAACAAGGAATGTGTTTATGCTAGAACTGAGCGGATAACTTTGTGATCGAAGCGAATCGCCACAAAGATCATTGTCCCATGGCATGTATCTTATATTCGAGTTGATCTTCAAGTTGGGAGGTGAGCATGTCAACAAATCTTATGGGTTATGTTCATGGTTTATGTTGTTTCTCGATCTTTGGTATGGCATGACGTTAGCATGATTAACCCCAGTTGAGTAATAGAAAAGTTGTAATTGGGTTGTACCTTGGTGCTCCCTCTATTTCACATCAATCAAACATGTCTACATGCAGATTTGCAATATAATGTTCCTAGTCAAGTGAGAATTCTTCTAGATCTTTAATGGAGGAAAGCAACTCTTTAGCCATCAAGTAGGGGCTTATTGACAACTGCTACCAATTAGATCAAGTTAAGAAAAACATTTTATTGGGTTCGATCCATTTACTTAACTAGATGATGCATGTTGTTGCGACGGATGCAACCTACTCACATATACAAAAGAAAAGAGAAATAAGAACAAGAAAAGCGAAGAAAGTCATTGTGCTCTTGCTTGGAGTATTTCTTTTGTCCTCGAGTTGATGGGTTGTCATGCAACATCTGAATCAGGTGAAATAATCTCATAGGGGATATTGTTTCTGAATTCAGAAGCAATTCCGTCAATATGAGACAGTTTACCTGGACATATCTACATGAAAATGTAATCGTATTCTTCCTACCTTCTTGGGGTGATATGATGATCTAGATGTGGAGGAGTGATGGTTTCTTTTCAGCAACTCTTTCCTCATAATGTTTTGGGGTGAGGTTGATGGTGAGCCCCCAGCACGATTTATATAGGGTACTTGCTCGCCACCAATGAGTGCTGATGTTTGTCTCAAAGGCCGTAATTAACGAGGTTATTAGTGGGGATCATTTGTCACTGTGCTTTCCTGTTTGCAAATTTTTATATGCATGTGGAGTCGTCATTCAACTAAAGTATCTTATGCATTGATTTTTTTCCGGGATTGTTTTAGGCTTTCTATTTATAATCTTCTTGATTTATTTGGTTGCACTGGCTCTTGTTCCCGACCCGCCAAGGGGAACATCTTCCACCAATGTGAAATCATCCTTAGATATATATCTCTTGGTAATGTATTATTATTTATTTATTAGTTGATATAAGATTTAGTTTAGAAATAAACAAGAAGTGTTTATGACTTATTAAGTGGACCTTAGTTTGAGCACGATCGAATTGGTCAAATGTGAGACATTGGATCAGTTGCTGATAGGTGGTTACTTTGGGCTTTTTGGGTAGCTTTATGTTGTTTACTGGGACACTAGATGACTTTAGGGTTTATTCCATCAGAAATAAAAAAGACTTAGGTTTGCTGTTGCGCTCCTCTATGGTTGGTATGGATTGGATTGCTCATGATGCTAGGGTATTCGATTGGATTGTTCTGGTAGAACCATGGGGCTTTATAATTATTTGAAGTCTGGTGCCTTGGTTGCTGTGACTAGGGGTGGCAATGGACCCGACCAGACCTAGGACATGACAGGTAGGCTTGACCTCGGGTCTGGGTCTAGGTATGTGTCTAATTTTTGGACCCGACCTGTACCCGTAAATTGTTGGATATAAAATAGCCTTATTCGTATGAGTGCATTAAAGATCGTATACAATAAGAACTAGTACCATCTTTAGCTATTAAACATAGCTCATAGTCATAGGGTGGCAATGGATCTGACGAAACCCAGGATTTGATGGGTAGACCCGAGACCTGAAGGGTGCAGGTATGGGTCCAATTTTTGGACCCGACAGGTTAGGTTTGGGTCCAACCCGTTGCCATCCCTAGCAGTGACTAATGTTTTGAAGATTAGAACCCTAGGGAGTTTTGAAGTTTAAAATTGGGAATGGATTTCCCTCCCAAAACTCTCTTCTTGTGCACTGTATATACCTTGAATTCCTAATCTGAAGATCATATCAATCTAGTTTCAAAGATTTAAATTTGTAGGCTTATCGCCCATTGCTCTCCGAGAGGCTGGTATCAACTGATAGTAGGTAAATGCATATGGGCCTCACCCCCATTTATTTTAGAGAATTTTACACTAATATCCCCTAAATTAGTGTTATTAAAGAATGTTCTCTCTAATTTTTCCATTTAATGTGTGTATCTCTTTCTTTTCATTTTTTTTATTCCAAATTGTCATCATCACTTGGATATTCAAGATCTGAAGTGACAATGCTTTATGACTTTGGATTTTAAAAATTTGAATAAGACCTCCATAGACAAAATCAAAGGTAATTTAAAATCTTCAATATCCGAAGTCACACTAGACTTCAAATCTTTGTGGGTGAGGTTTGTATGAGGTTGTCTCCTTATATTGTACAAATAATGCGTGCCAATAAAATTTACTTAGAGATGTCGTTTGGGTGTTGAAAACCTTATGATGACTTGAAAATCTCTTCATGCTAAATTATAAAATTTTTCAATTTAAAAAATTGTACAAGATCGAGCAAATCAATAAACACTTGAAAATAGACCGTCAAGATAATTTGTTATGGAAAATTGTTTCATGCGGGCTGGATTGCATTTCTACATGTGGTCCAGAAAATATAAAGCATCCAATGGATGCAAGTAGGTCTTCCATCTAAAAACAATAGAAACTAACGGTTCTTACTAGAATTATTATTTCTACTGTTAAAATATATTTATTTATTTTTATATTCATGATCTCCATGTTAAATATTACATGTCCTTAAAAATTAAGTATTTAAGTCCATCTCAAAAACATATGCGAGTTTGGCAGCATAGAAACTGGGTCTATTTATTATAAGATGTACTATTTTTTGGACTTGGCATTCTTTTTTTTCTTCGTGCCCATTCATCTAGATATCCAAATCAAGATGATCACTTGGAGGGTTCTTTAATGCTGGAACACTCTCCTTTATAGGATTTTTGAGATCCATGTTATGTCAACAGTAAATACGGTTGTAACCAAAGTCGAGTCTTGACATACAAAATCAAATGTAACTTAGAATCAAGATTCAAAATCAAATGGAGATCCAAAGTAGTAGGATCTAAACGAGTCCGTCCTCACTATCGTGAATAAAAGAGAATGGTAGGATCTAAATGAGCCCTTCAAAAAATAGGATGGCATTTTATACCTCTTGGACCAGTTCATATCATTTGTTTATGTGAAATCTTATCCATTGCGTTGTTTCTCAGTTGAAACTCTTTGTTGGAAAAGACTTGGATGTATCGACTTGACACACCACATCTTTTGTGGGATAAAAAATATTCTGAATGGGAAATTAATGAGCCGAAAAGGCTCTTATACTAGGGATTTTATATAATAAGACATTTACCATTGATACAAGGAGGTCACAATTACTCATGACCGATAGCTTTGGTGTGTTACAAAGTACAAGAAAATTTCTTCTTAACTTTGAGCTTGGTGTATGAAATAAATGTAGCCACCTAATTTCCAATCTATTGGTCAAGACTAATTGCGACCACATTATACCAAAGGTAAATAGTCTCATTGTATACTTTTCTCTTATATATTCAAGTAATGTACCTAGTGCAACCATAATAGGAAAAAGTTCACATAAGGCATTACCCTTACACTATTGAGTGCTCCACAAAAACCATCAAAAAAAGTTGTTCTAACACTAGAAAACCGTTTCACAAGGACAAAAAACAAAATAAAATCAATGCTAGAAATAATGTATCTTGTAATGCATCATCTAAAACTGTTCATGGTAAAATGTTAAAAGATATGTTCAGTTTGCATCATTTTTTTAGCTTTAAATTTATTAATTAAGTGTATAAATAGATTTTAAGGCCATCAAGAAGTTTCTAGTTCAGGATTTGAAGGTGCTCCTTACTTTTTCATTGGACAACTTATACAAATCACATCCTTTATAATAATTTGTTACTTTTGGTTTCTATTGTGCTACTCCACTAGAATTTTTATACTCAAATGAAGTAAATTTTGTTTATCATATTTTAAGAAAAGCGATTTTTTTACCATCTTGAGCCAAAATACATAGTTTAATGCTATATGTTCTGACTTATTTCGAGTAAAAGTTATCAAGGTTTAGGTATCATTATGCTTACCAAAGTTTTATGTAGACGTAAATATTAAGCTTGCTATCATTCTTTCTTATTTACTAGATACTTTGAATGCCCCTTTTTTATAATTTAGACTAGTGATTTAAAAATCATAGGGCACTGAATCGCCCGATCCAACTTGGGAATTGGTCACGCCGTGCCAATTCTATCAATATTTAGGAGGTCATCCGGGTCTCGAAGAAAACCGGCAATTTGCTATAGTAAAGTGGCATTTTGCTCTATTAAAAATGCCGATTCATCCATCCGGACCGGTTTTTGGCCGGTTCACTGTTTTTACAAGTGTTTTTTTGTTATTGCTTTATTTTTTTCTACACATTAAAACGGTGATCCGGATCAGTGTTTGCGATGCCCAATCCAGGTTCCCATCTATTTTTTAAATCACTGATTTAGACACAGGAAATCGTTTTTCAAATCTCACTGATTTACAAACAGGAAATAGCCAGGTTAAATGGGTTGCTGTCCAATTTTCATACAACAAGAGGGTGAGGAGTGGTGCAAAACCCTAAAAAAAAAGCTCACAAATTTTGAAGGCCTCTCCACCACAGTTTGAATAAAACTCAAAACCCTAATGTTACAACATCAATCGCTAAAAGAACAACTAAAACACAAGGCAATCTGCAAAATTCCATGAGATCTCAAACAACCCTCTTCGTGACGTCTTTCATCAAATCACTTATTCTAGGCTCCATGTGCAAAGGCTTTGGGGCACAAAGCCCAATTTCTCCTTGTTTCCCATATGTCTTACCATAAACCCCAGAGTCCAAATGTGTGCCCTCATCACACTCCAAAACCCTAGAGATCATCTCATCTTGTGTCATTTCCATTGGGAAATGACCATTTCCACAAACCCTAGAAATAATCTCATTTTGTTGCATTTCTACTGGGTCATGAACATTTTCACGAACCCTAGAAATCATCTGTTGGTCATCCTCCCAAGCCCTAGAAATCATGCCTTCAAGGCCACTGGAGATTTCATCGAAATGGGTTCTCCTATCATTCATGGAAACCCTAAAGCCCAAATCAAGTTCTGCAACTTCTTTCTTGAGTTCTTCCAATGAGGTTTCACTGTGATTATTGGAAACCCCAAACGTCAAATCTTTGCTCTTGACATCATTGATGGAAACCCCAAAACCCAAATCAAGATGAGCAACTTCTTTCTTGAGTTCTTCTAATGAGGTTTGACTGTGATCATCAGAAACCCTAAACTTCAAATATTTGCTCTTGACATGGGGCCATTTTTTATTAGCCCCTTTGTGATTACTATATGAATCAATCAATTCAATTAGATGAATTAGTTCTCTGGTTATGGATTTCTTGCCTTCTCTGATCATTACATTCCCACTCTGCAAAACCCAAGCAGAAAAGTTCGTTCCATAAACAAAACAATAAGAAGCCCCAATATACCCAATCAGAAGAAAAAGAGGGACCTCATATATGTGTGTGTGTGAGAGAGAGAGAGGACCAATAAACAGAAAAAAAAAAAACATACGCCCAAACGCACAGAAAAAAAGAAAGGGGCAAAAATCAAGAGAGACCAATAAACAGAAAGATCCATAAACCCAAATGTAGAGAAAAAGAAAGAGAGAGAGAGGCAAAAATCATGTGAGGAAGAGAGAGAGAGTAGGACCAAAAAACACAAACTTGTAAACCCAAATGGAAAGAAAACCTGACAAAGAGAGAGAGAGGGTGGCAAAAATCAAAAGAAATCGAAAAAACAAACGGAAATATATCATAAACACAAAAAGGAAAAAAATTATCAACTCAAAAAATGGGTAAAATGCAGGAATAAAATGGGGAGGAAATACAGAAATATAACCAGAAAACTAGAGAAGGCAGAAGGCCCATGAAAAACGATGAAGTAGAAACAAATGAAATCATGGCATATATCAGGTTAGATCAGATCAGAGAGAGAGAGAGATGTCCAGAAAAGAAGCACTTTTAGAGAGAAACCAATAGAAAGTAAAGAAGCAACTTTAGAGAGAGAACCCAATAATCAGAAAATAAGCAACTTTGGATTTTTCATTACGAATCAGTGGGGAAAAAAGTCAGTACCTGAATGGAATCAATCTTGATGAGGAGGCTCATGGCTTTCTCTGCAAAGTCCTGCCTCACGAGCACCCTGTTTCGTAGTAGAGAGAGAAAAGAAGGGTTGGAGAGAGAAAGCTGTAGGCTTTTGAGGTGGGTTTTTGCAGTAGAGAGATTTTCGAGGTGCCGAAGTGTTCGAGAGCGTCGAACCAAGAAGGCCCGGAAGTGGGTTTGGATGGTTCGAGCTGCTGCGTCTTTTAGAGAGAGAGCACGCTCTTTTAGAGAGAAAAAGTGCGTGGGAGGTGGTGGTGGAGATGGGCGGCTGGGATTGACCGATAAGTGGCGGAGGGCGGATTCGAGGGCTGAGATGCGTCGATGGAGTTGGTGGAGAGGTGGGTTTTGGGGTGGATGAGGAGAGAGGAGGTGAGAGAGATGAGAGGCTATCGATTGGAGGAGAGGGTCAGAGAGAGAGTGGGAAGGGGAAAGAGAGGGTGGCGGTGGTGGTGGGGAGGAGAGAGAGTGGTGGGGTTGCTGGCAGCAGCAGCAGGCGTGGTGGTGGTGACAGTGGTGCGATGCCATTGAAGAGAGAGAGAGAGAGAGAGAGAGAGAGAGAGAGATGGGCTTAGAGTGAGAATGGAGATCTGGGGGAGAGAGATGCGTTAAGACCTAGAGAGAGAAACAGGGAGGAGAGAGAGAGAGAGGATGGCTTCGCGATCACGAGAGGACATAGCAGAAAAATGCAGAACAAGTAAAAAGACTTGTTTGTGGACCCCATACACAGACAGAGGACACCCTTTATTAGGGTAGAGAGAGAGTGATAATCGGGTCGGGTCGGGTCAACTTAGGGAATATTTCATGCAGAAGATGCTCACGATGGCGGATTCGATGGCCAAGAACTCCATTCTCACTTGGTCCCAAGTTAATATTCAGGAAAAAAATATATACAAATAAAAAAATTAAAAAAGGTATCCATTGCCTCTGGGCCTGGAGAAAAGTATTTGAAGAAATTCGGCATATCATAACTACATTGACCTTAAATACTCTCATAAGGGGCCTATTAGGGAGGCAAGTTTCCTTGCTAAGGAGAAGTAAAATCTTCTACATTTCTCAATTTTGTGCTCACATTTTAGAGTCTTGTATAAGGCTCAATTTTGTAAATACACACAGCAAAATTCACGTAAATCAACTTTGTACCTAACCAAATAAAAAATATTTGTAAGGGAAATTCATCAAAATATACATAACTTTTTAATAGGTTACCTATGCTATTTACTTAATTTCAAAATACCTGTCAAAATACACTTGATCATGAGTAGAAATAGTTGAACAAGAGACTCTTCAATTGGTAAAAAGCTAGGTGTATTTTGATAAGTTTCCCGATTTTTAAAGATAAAAGAAAAGAAACTAAGTTTATAACAAGGTCAAAGTAAAGTCCAACGCGCACACATTAGCTTTTGTTAAGTTCCTAAAATTTTGTAGGGTTAGTGCTAAAATAGACTTGGTTTTATAGCAAGGATCGCATATCACAAACGTAATTAAAGGTACAAAGGCAACCCACAGTCTAGGATTCATTAACAAACTGGGGAGACGCCTAATCTCAACTGTTTTTAAGTGACAGAGATGGTGGATGACTGACTTCATTCGCTAGCTTACATGTATAATGTGGAAACCATAATATGCATGTCTCATCAACAGATACCCAAACAGGCCCTTAATTCGTGCGAAAACGTTGCATACAAGCAATGTTACGGCTGTATCATGTAAATCACAATATAAATGTATAGAGACATCTAGCTATCTAATCTTGATTGCACAGCTCCACCGAGTGAACTAATAATTTCTTTGTGCATTAATTGTGACTGGGACAATTAACACCAGTACGTGATATTGCTTTCAACTCACTCCCAACTGCTCTTTGAGTATACGGTTGTAGGTCCTATGTATGCAGAGAGACATGGAGAAAGGTTTCCCAGCACTATGAAAAGCAAACAGAAAAATTATATTGCACTAACATCTTGAACCAAAATATGTCCATTAACATGCACCAATTGCACTCTGAAAATCGAGCAATTTAACAGTTAAAAGTTTGACAGGAAACAGTTCACTTCCGAAGCAAGTGTCGACCTCGAAGGTTTGCATTTTTAACTCTGAAACCCAACTCATCAACATCATCGTTGAGATTATCCAATGCTTTATTTTGCCTGCAATTTTATCCAAGGAAACACTTTAGCTCTCAATGTCAGAGAAATGGAAGAAAAAATAGAAAATATATAAACACATAAAAGAGTGACACGTTCATTTTTGGTAGCCCATCATTCTGAAAAGTTGTTCCCAAAAGTGTGGAAATTTCCAGCAAGATGAGTGTGTGGATATACAGAGAGAGAGAGAGAGATCATGCATCATGTTTAAAAGTAGAAAACCCAACATGAAACTCTAAGCAAAATGCCTGGAAGTTTCATACTAACAGAGTAATAAAATTATCAAAACCACATTAACAGACAACCACAGGGCTTTACAAAAATTTGGGACGAAAAAAATAAAGAAGATCAGGACAATTAAGTACATATTCCAACATGAAATTAGGATATTGTTGTTAGACATTCAACTACAGTGATCATTTCTGAAGTACCAAGAATAGAGAATGACGTTAATATCAGAGAAATATTTAATTGGACAAGTATAAAATAAAACTAAACACATTACCTTTAGTTCTGTTAGATGTGAAATTGGGATGTGCAGGAGGTGTTCCATTGACCATGTTCAAAGTCCAAGAAAATGAAAATCTTTTTTAGAATTTGTACAGAGAAATGGCACACTCCTAGTCACCTAATCTCACATCAGACAGGGCCAACTGTGACCTTTTTGTATTGAAGGTAATAATGATCTCATAGTATACATCCTTAATTTTTGCAATTCCTGGAAGTAATTGACTAACCCTTCTATTTCTGATCCCATATCGAGAGCCATGTCCTTTAGCTCTCCCAGCATGTTGCTCAAATCTGAAAGAGCATCATCCTGCTTTCCCTTCTGTAACTGTTTACAGCAAACCCATAAAAATTGTCACAGAGAGAGAGAACTACAAATCGAAACAGATCAATAAGTCTTGTTCATACACACAGCGTGAGAGTGAGAGAGCACTTGATGAATTTCTTACACAAATCAATAATTCTTAAGAGAGGGAGAGAGAGTGAGTGTGCGTCTGTGTGCATGAGAGAACACTCGAATTTTTTATGCATATATATATATATATATATATATATATATATATATATATATATAGAGAGAGAGAGAGAGAGAGA